GCGAGGGGCCTGCCCAGTGCCAGCTCTCCAGCTGCCCTGCGCTGCCCGCCGTGCCCAGGGTGGCTGGGCCGCGCTCACCTCCACTGCGGCACACCGCGTCCTCAGCAGCCCGCACGCCAACCTGCGCAGGAGAGGAGTCCGGTGGCCACCAGCCCCTGGGGCACTGGGAGCAGTGGCAACACTGGCATGGGCACCGCCATGGGAGACAACAGGGGGGTAGAGCTACACCTTTTATTGGGGGGCTGTTAGCACCGCAGGTGCTTGAGCAGCCACAGTGCCATGTTCATGAAGCCATCAGCTTCGGCCTCAATGCCAGCCAGCGCGTGGTTGTTCCCCGGGTACCAGAGCAGTCTGCAGGGGAAAGGGGGGTTAACGCCATGCCCACACTCCCCGACCTGGGCACCCAGCACCGCACTCACCGTGTGGGCACCCCCCGGGCCTTGAGGGCACGGTAATACTCCAGCCCCTGCTTGGGGGGCACACGCCGGTCATCCTCCCCCAGCATCAGCAGCACGGGTGCACGGACCTGCGGGAGTGGCACAGCCTCAGTGTTGGCACTGCGAGCAAGGACGGGGACAGGGATGGAGATGTACCCGGTCAATGTAGCGCATCGGCGACTTGCACAGCATCTCTGTCCACTGGGCTGGGTCCGGCAGGGTGTCGGGCGTGTAGGAGAGCCCCGTCTCCGTCAGGCACCTATGGGCGAGAAGGGCGGGGGCATGTGCAGGGCCAGGGTGGTGGGGGCCCGGGGACGGCGGTACTCACCAGTCAGGGATGTCGGTGGCAGCCACCATGGAGGCGATGTTCACCACGGGGTTGCGGACCACGCAGGCGTGGTAGGTGTCGGGGAACTGGCCGAGGAGGTGGCACGCCAGGAAGCCCCCGTGTGAGCCACCCACCAGCGCCACTCGGCCAGCATCCAGCGACTCCTCCTGCAGCACCCGCTCCACACAGAGCTGCCACCACAGAGCAGGGGACACCCGCTGAGGCAGGCAGCCCCACTTTCCCTCCTTGGGGGTACCTGCAGCAGCATAGGGTGCTCCAGGGCCACGTGCCGGGGCCATACCTGCACATCGCGTACGTCCTGAGTGCCCACGTTGCCCGGCAGGGAGGCCACGCTGTCCTGGCCGAAGCCCAGCGAGCCACGGTAATTGACTGGGTGGGGAGGCAGTGTCAGAGCCCTTCCTCCCCCAGCCCTGGCCCCACTGCAGGTGCTCTGCCACCCAGCAGCCCTGGCCCCTGACATCACTCACCCAGCAGCACGGCGAAGCCCATACGGCAGAGTGCTGCCGGGTACAGCATCCACCCAGCCGTAAAGACGGAGTGGGGACCCCCTGTGAAAGGCAAAGGAAAAGGGGGGGTGACACTGCCCGGCTGGGGCAGGGGCATGGTGGTGGGGGAAAAGCTCTTACCGTGGGGCATCACAACCAGGGGGGGCTTCTGGGCAGCAGGGCCCTTGCTTGGGCGCAGCAGGATGGCATCGAAGTCCAGGCCCCCTGCAGAGGCAGGGTGGGGGGTGTCAGGGCTCGGTGGGGGCAGTGGAGCCCAGCCCGGCACCCCTGGGCACTCACTGTACTGGGGGTGCTCCTGCTCCGGCGGGGGCTGCAGGGTGCGGATGTTCCAGCTGATGCCTGGCACGGGGTGTTCGTCCTGCAGGCAGACCCACCGCGCCTGCGCTTCCTGGCCAGCGCTGGGCAGGATGGCCACTTTCTGCACGGGGAGAAGCGTCGGTGCCAGCACCGAGAGGGACTGGTGGGGGCTGGGGAGGGGGGCTCCAACTTACCAGGGTGGGGGGGGAGCTAGGGGGGGAGGACCTGGCCA